CTTTTAGATGCATGTACTGTTTCTTCAGCTTTTTTCTAACCGAGTAAATAACATAACCCTGAAAAGAAAAAGAGAAGTAGAGGAATGCTACTAGATCATCATACATTAGCAAGCAACAACAATAACAAACAGGCCTGTGGGGATATGCTCCCAAGACCTGCCACATCAGCTAAGGGGAACAAAGGCATTATGAGAGTAGAATTTTAAAGCCATTATGAGAGTAGAATTTTACAATCACTAATGATTTCTATGGCATCTCTAAAAACTATAATCAAATTTCAAAATGAGGCAGAATGCAAATAACGAATCCTAAATGGCCCACCTGGCTGGGTATAGCATGATCAGTCCTAAATGGCCGGACAACAAGGTTATTCCGCATTTCATATGTCTCACCTGAATCCAAAATTGCAACATCATTTCTGGCATGAAGAGATATAAATAAGCCCACTAAACCAGCACTACATACCCACATCCAATGCAACCAAATCAAGGTTCAATTCCACGTGACCCATGGTCTGGTGAATGTCTATTAGCTTCTCCACATCCTCTTTGATACAAGGAGGCACAAATACTGTTGGAGGTTTTAAGTTGTACAAACCACGGCTGGCTACATACATTGGCAGCCCACCCTGAAACAATAAAAGCAGTTTAAGCACATACTAACATTTTAACTTCCAAATGAAGTAAATAGCTCAGAATGTGAGAAAATTAAATTCAAGCAATTTTGCACACAGCTAGTCATCACACCAAAACTGCTTTTACACCAACCTTATAACTTAGACAACTTAAAATAGCAAATTTCAAACTTTAAAAAAAAATAAAAAATAAAAAATAAAAGAACGACAATGCTCAATAATACAGTATTTTCACAATTATTGACTTATAAACTTGAACGAAGCTAAAAAGCTATTAACAATGGCAACTGTGGGCATACTGAAGCAAACCAATTATGGGCACCCAAGAGAGGAGAGCAAGAGGAGCTCACAATATGATCAAGATGAGCATGAGTGATGAAAACAAAGTTCTGATGAATGGCCCTGGAGGGGCACCTGCCGATGTCGAAAGCGCACTTGAACTCTGGGATGATAATGCAAGTCTCATGGCCACCAATTGAAAGACCCTCAATGGAATAGCCTTCCAAGTCCACACCTTTCCGGAGAACCTGTGACCGGGCTAGCCGGTACTCGTCATCCTCGATTGCTCGGCCGAATGCCGGTAAAAGAGGCGACCCTTTAAGAGAATTTACAGGTTTGGAAAGAGTTTTCAGCGAAGTTCTCTGGGTTTTTGGCGTCTTTGGAATGGGTGGGTGGAATGGGAAAATTAGAGGGGCTTTGGAGGGTGAAATTGTCAGAAAGATTTGCATATTTGTTGGGGATTTGAGTTGAGAGAGTAGCTCATAAGATAGCAAACCAAGGAGAGAAGAGAACAAGAGAGACTGAGAGAGGGCTTTAGAGAGGTTTTTCTCCCAGCGAGAGTGGATTTTGTTGGTCCGAGTGAAAGTATAGATATTTTTGGGGAACTTTATCTAATTTAGGAGGGAGAAGACGCTGAACGCTGCGTTTTGGCTGTTGCATGGCGGGTCTACAGTTTGCAACCAAAGAGAATAAAACGATACGTTTTGACGACATTAAACAGGCAAAAGGAGACCTTTGTTTAGGCACACCATGCTTTGAATCAAATGGAAAGTGAAACAAACCCTATCAATTATAAAACAGAGCAAGTAATTTGCAATAAATTAGCGGTAAAATTGCATTGGGGGGAATGGACATTTAACTACAGTATGTACATTGGTGTTGTTTCATCGTTCAAGAAGTTAGGTCACAATTTCTCACAATTCAACTAGCAGAAGGGTTGTTCTTGCATCTGAACTTTACATATGAACACTGAACTTTATGGTACAAAGAGGGGAAGTTGATGCTTCAAACCCTCATAAGCAAAGACAAAGCCATGTTTTATGTATGTACTTAGACAAAGCTGTGCAGAAGCCAATTAAGATTCTGTGAGCGTGATGCCGCGCTATAAATTACATCGCTGCAGACCATAATTCTTGAACTTGAGCAGACTAGTTCAGCGTTTTGAAGCGTGAAGCCGTGAATGATTGGTAAGGGGAATCCCTTTCCGAGGTGTGAGTTCACATATGGCAGGAAAACAGTCTGAATAATTGTCCACATCACTGGCTGCAATGTAAGACATATCAAGCGTTTAGTTTAAAATTAATGCAAGACCTAAATTTTAGTTTGAGGAAGCTTTTATAAAGCAAGAGTACCTGAATTAGATACAAGCGAAGATTGCCAATATTACTCCACTTCAATGACATTGAAAAGTCATTCACTTTTATGCTACCAGCAAGGTTATTGCCTGAGATTTTAACTGAACCTGATGCACGAATGACCTGAAAGAACATAAAATATTTCTTATTATTTGTTGTAAGATGACAAACATGATTATCATGCATAAATAACACAAATTATTTCGAGTGAAAAGTAAAGATTATCACATGATATAACTAATCAAATCTTCCATCGATAAACTTACCAATGAGATGCAAGCCACTGGTATTACTCTGTTTTCTTCCAATACATCAATGATCAGGTCTGCGTATATGGTAGCATCAATATTATGCTCTGAGATCCTCACGACTGGAGGAGAAGATAAGGAAACATTCAAGTCCATATCATGGTTTGGATATTTCTTGTATAGCTGGGGAACAATAAATCTCCATCCAGCAGTGTTCAAAAAAGACTGATCTGGTATTTTATCCACAATCCATTGCATAAATTCTGCCTGCCCAAAGATAGACACTGTCTTTATTAATAGTAATAAAACATCATGCAGGCAAGAAGGATATTATGCAATGATAAATACTTTAGAGACACAATTCTAAGAAACTCCACGAATATTTCCCAGACTTACATTAAAATATGCGTCTCCTACAGAGTTGAACACAGCCTCATCCAGTGAAATTCCAAGCATTTTAGATGAATCTGAGCAGGAAACTAATGCATGTGAATCCTTATTGTGGTACTTAGAGACTGAGGCATTTCTTCTTGCAAATAAACCATTAATCTCAAACCCTATGGAAGAATTACTCAATACTGGGTCATTCACAAAAGTGACATTCAAAGAAGTATTATCATCCAATGGCATCTCCTTTGGAAGAGCTTGCAGAAGTGAATCAAGCTTTACAATCCCATCTTTGAGTTTCTTGGTGACAGAAGTTTCCACTGCAGATCCGATTTGCTCTTCAAATGCATTAATCATCCTAAAGGAAGAAAAGGAAATGGATTATTCACAGAAGGAAAATCAAAATGCTGATCCTTCTCTTCGACTAAAAGGTACACAAGTCATGCAGGGGGAGAGAGAGAGAGAGAGAGAGAGAGATACAAGATATAAACTGCTAGCCTCTAGATACATATAATAAAAACCTGACGCAAAGAAAGAAGGGGAACAGCAATTACAAGTGCAAACACTTCTCCACAGCAAATAGAAAATTTGCATACCCTTGATAAAGCCAAGAGGCTCCTCCATCCAGTTTTATGGAAATATCTTTAACGTAACAACCACAATCCTTGAGGGTAAGCTTTAAAGTTCCATCTTGTATCCCCAAGCCTAATGTGAGCCCAACTTCCAAGCCTTCAACCTTAAGCAGAAGCAGCATTCATCAAACTTCCTTTGTTAAAGGACACAAAATGAACAGAAACACACTTGAAACGGATAAGGTTCAACGATATGCAAAGCGCATGTACTTCAATTTCCAAAGAGAAACCCAAATTCGTTAAAATGATCAAAAAAGCGAGCAAATTTCCATGTCATAGCTATATCTATAAAATCCAGTAACTATTATACTAATGATATCCGTGATGCCAAACACAAATAATACAGCAATCCAGTTCCTTCCCAAAAGCCAACATTATTTGGATGAAATTCAGTTTTGATAAATAAAAGTTGGATGATATCAGATCAATAAACATGTGTACACACACAAAAACATATCTTTCTCAAAGTCCAATACATTTTAAGAAACAAAATAACAAGAAAAAGAAAGTAAAGCAATCACATCTATAAAATTCAAGGATCACTCTCTCACTAGCCTCCCTGAACGGGTCACTCTAATGCTCGAACTTATTATGTAAACAAAAGCACCACCTTTATGTGAAATTGGGGGTGCACAAGCTATACAACAATAATAGCGCCAAGTGCAATCATACGCAGGCGACTATGTTCTTATCTACCACTAACTCCATTCGAGCATGCCGCACAATGAAGCAACTTAATTTTCATATAAGCATCCTTATCATCTAAAACCCAATTGCATATATCAAAAACTATCTTAAAGATCATTTTTCACCTATTGATTTGCAGAACTTAAACCCCCGAAAAAAATGAAGAAAAGAAACAGCGTAAAATGAACCCAGAATCAATCAAAGCAATACCTGAATAGAGGCACGACCTTCATCTGAAACAACTACAGGTGCAATCCAGGTACTATAGGAATAATACCAACTCATGCTCAGATTGCATGTGGTCCCTGAAGCAATAATGGCAATTCCATCATCTCCCAGCTTGAAATACGAGGAACCAACATCGATTCCGTAGATTGTGATGTTGGAGAGCACCATATTAACATTTCCCAGAAATGGGATCCTCGTGGATTTCGAAATTTGGGGCAGTTGCAGTGGGATTATGGAAGAAACAGCCTTGGTTATGAGCAAGTCCTTGAGAAAATCAAGACCCTTTTGGGATATGACTATGGATGTGAAGGCGTCGTCTGTGGCTTGGACTTGGAGATGGGTCTGCGTTGAAATGAAGAATGAAGCTATGAGAAGCAAGACAATGGTTGGTGGTGCCATTGAGGTCTCTGGGCAAGAGAAAAAAAGATGAACGATTTTGGCCATGGCACAAGGAGAAAATGGAAAAACGCACAGCTTTAACTAACTTAGAAAAAACTCTTGGTGGAAATGTCGAGAAAACCCCCAAACTTCTATATATTTTCCTTGGTCGGTCAGTAAGTTTTAAGCTGTCGTTGGGTGAAAAATTGGATCTTTCTGGGGAAGAAAGGAGGCCAAGAAAAATGGCATTACAGGCTGCCGGGGTTTCAACCTCCAAGGTGCTCGTCCTCGTTGGAGCAGGTGAGGTTTCTAAAAACTTAATATATTTCTTGGTTCCTCTTTACCCTTTTGTTACCTCTTATCATCATCATCGTCATCTTTGCTCACTTTATTTTCCAGTGATTTAAATTCTTGAAATTTCAATGAAAACAGCAACTGGGTTATCTTAGCATATGAACCTTATATTCTTACTTTGGGTTTTTGTAGCTGCCTAGGCGTGTTGCTTGTATAAATAGCAATTTAGTTTGTTAACTGAATGATAATTCAGAGCAGCTTGTCTATTGGCGGCTGGGGCTGTTGGACACAGATTTGGAGTTTAGCCATTTTTCTTATTCTTCTGGGGTTGTTAATTACTAAGTGGGTTCTTGTTCATTTCATAAGGAATGATCCTAGTGCTTCGAAAGTATAATTCCTGTTTTTTTTAATGAGAAATTTTAATAGGAAAGAAAGGAAAAATAGGTATATAATAAGAGTCAACAGCAAAGAAACAGAAAAAGCATTGAAGTACTTTTTGTCATTGGCATTGCAAAAGTACTGTATGGTACCATGGTTTATGAAACACAGTTTGTATCTAGTTCTTTGCTCCTTTCCATTTATCACTATTGTCCTCTAACTATCAATACTTTTGTTCCCTTTTGCAATTTAGGCTTGACCGGTTCTATCGTTTTGAGGAGCGGGCGATTATCTGATCTTATTGCACAGCTTCATGAGTTGTTGAAGGGTGTAAACGAAGCTGAGATTTTGTCAGAGAAATATGATGGTGCACTTATCAGAGATCAGGTATTGCAACTTCTTGAATTCAATTAGGTCTTTAGACTTAAAAAGATTCAAAGTTTGCAAGAGATACTGTGTACTGATGTTTTGTCGTCATAAAAAATTGGCAAATGGTCAAAGTTTAATTTAGTTTCAGTTTGAAAAGTATTTATATTAATGTATGATGGCTCAATCAGTATTGGCATCTATTTGAAGCGAAAAAATTATTTTATAAAAAAGGAGAAGCTGCTTTTTGTTTATCTTTATTTTTGAGCTCTTTAGAGGGTGAAGGTGAAGGTGAAGGTGAAGGTGGAGGTCCTAGGTTAGGTTACGATACTGTTATAATTTTGTTTTTTTTTAACTGTTTACCCCATAACTGTAGTTATCTTATCCTCGTAGACACAATCTCTTTGCACAGTTTGTATACTTATATTATATGTGTCTTTACTTTCAGATTCAACAATTGGCTCGAGAAATCAGGGAGTTAACCTTATCTGGCCCTGTAACCATCTTCAAGGAGAACTCTGCCTCCAGTGGTATAAACATTTCTTCAGAGGCCTTAGTAATCAGTTTTGTGTGTTTTTTAAATTAGAGTTTGTATGAATTATTCAGAAACCACCAATTTATTTCCTTTGGGAATATGGTTAATATTTTTTCCACATCAGGAGTTAATTTCTATTATGTGCAAGATTTTGTTAAATCTTAATCATATAGATGAGCTCACACATTTCATGTCAGCACAGGGAATTATGCTTCATATTTAGTTCCAGCTGCTGCACTTGGTGCAATGGGCTATTGTTACATGTGGTGGAAGGTAATTCTACCTATGACTGAACGCTGAAAATTTGCGGTCACACAAACACATTCTATTAAGTTCTGCACTTGTGAGGATTTGTATTATTGCTGATGTATGGGTATGTTTGTGATATTGTGCAGGGCTGGTCATTATCTGATGTAATGTATGTAACAAAGCACAATATGGCAAATGCTGTTGCAACTGTGTCCAAACAATTAGAGCATGTCCATGAAACATTGTCTGTAAGTCAGATTTGTTGCCCATTGTGTGGTCGTCTTTTCTAGATGATAGTCCTTAAAAGGGTATGCGGGACACTGCTGTCTCGTTTTTGCAGTCTACAAAAAGGCATCTGACAAAGAAGCTGGAAAACTTGGATTGGAAGATGGAGGAGCAGAAGGAAATAAGTGAGCTTATTGCAAATGATGTATGGTACAATGTATTTACATACTTTAACATAAATAAGCAGATGCTGTATACTCAAGATTAGGGGATCTTATTATTGAAATAGGATTGATGTGTTTTGCACTTCCAATTCCTCTTCCTTGGCTGAATCATAATCATTAGGGCAAATAGGAGATTCATTTACCTTCCATTCAGTGTCTCTTTTGTGGTACATCTTTACAAATAAAATTCCTCTCATAGCATCAGCATCGTAGTGCCATTTGAACTTTGGGAAGCAATTAGTAATTCAGTGTAAGGAGATAATGCTGATGACATCCTAATAAGTACTATCTATGTTGATATTCATTTTCCATTTCATTTGCATACAGGTGAATGAGGTGAAATCAAACCTTTCTCAAATTGGGTTTGATGTTGAATTAATTCATCAAATGGTCGCTGGGTTGGTGAGTTGATAATTCTGTCTTTTATGCATATCTTTTATTTTAGTCTGGCATGCTATAAGCTTATCGGATTACTTATGTTGTATTTGTTGATTGCCTAAACAGGAAGGGAAGGTTGAGCTTATTGAGAGCAAACAGGTTATATTTTTGGTTATGCCATCACCTCAAAAACCTTGTGCATTATCTAATTTCTTTATGCTTCTGTAATGACTGATTTGCCCCCTTTTTCATAATACAGGATGCCACCAACTCAGGTCTATGGTATCTATGCCAAGTAGCAGAAGGCTTCAAAGATGGGTTGGATACTAAACCATTTCAGGTCAGATATTCTCTGTGTGTTCATTTGAAAACTGACTATTAAATGAGTTAGATGAGATTTCTATCTGGTTAGTCAACGAGATTAGCTTACTTTGTGTCTACATTGTCATGGACTCATTGTCTTTCTCCTCATTGAGTTACTAAGTTATCTTAGTTGTGTATTGGCAGAATGTCTCTGCTAAGCTAGGAAAGCATTCAACAATGGCTTTTGAGGATAAATCACTCAAGGTATCTGCAGCCTCATTTTCTTCTGCTTTCTACATAATGCTGTTTTTATTTACTTGTGACATGTTCCAACTTCCAACAATACTTCAGGGCCTACAATTCCTTGCTGACACAAAAGAGCCAAGCGTGACTGAGAAATCAACGACAAGCGCGAAAAAGAATGATCCTGACAACTTACCTGGGGAAAAGGTTCCAAGAATGAAAACAAGAATACACAGGTCATATCCAGTTGGGATTTCTTTGACCCGGGACATAACGGGCTCAGATTTGTGATTTTTTTCTTCTTTATTTTTTGGGGTTTGTTTTTCTTCATATGTGATTTATTTTATGAAGGGCCCCCTTCATATTGATTCTTGCTGTAGTTTCTGGGACTCATTTGTATTTCATTTGTGAGCATGGGTGTGTAAGTTCTCTGCTTAGGAAAGTGCAGGGATTGCAATTGCGATGACTTCATTGTCATACATGTGTAAAATAAAGTCAAATAATCTGTGTTTTGTGATGACGTTTGGAATATATGAAAACTCTGGTTTGCCAAGAAATTCCACAGAAACAAAAAATTAAAAAGGGAAATCATAAAGTGATCAAAACCCATAAAGCTTGGATGGAAAACTTAGGGCAAGCAATATGAGATGGGGCCGATGTTTTTTTTTTTTTTCTCAGGAAAAAAAAAAAAAAATTCTAAACTACTTTACTGTATGGAGAAGGGGATGGAACTTGGTGTAATGGGCTGGCACGGCAGCAGCACGTATGTCTTGGCCAATTGGGCTAACCCGTATATGCAAAATATATAGGCTTAAATGTCAAAATGGTCCCTGTGTTTTACTTCATCGGCCCCTTTAGTTGTTATCAGTTTGGTCAATTTAATCCTTTGTGTTTGTATCCGTTAGCCAATGTGAAAATGTGTATACATTTAAGCCAAATATATATATATATATATATTTTTGGTGAGAGATGAATAGAAAACTTAGGCCCATAAGTCCGTAGACTCCAATGATTGGACAATTTAAATCCAACCCAAATATGTCGTCGAAGTAAGTTTAGTTTGACCCGGCCTATCTTGGACCGACTTGACCTTTGAGGTACAAAACGAGCAACTTGCTAGGGCTTTTGATTTATTCCAAAGCTCTGATTTTTCAGGTTGTGCTCCTCCTTCGAACTTTGCAAGTTTCACCTTTCCTCTAAAGAGAGGTATTCTTCTACCTTCTTCTTTGTTCAAATTTTAAAGCAAATTTAACTTGATTGTTTATTCAATAATTGTTCTTCTGCGATTGTTATTGATTCTAGGGTTTGCTTCTGTCATAATTTCCCTGTAAATTGCTAGAGCTGTACGTTGAATCCTTTTGAGAATTTGATCTTATATATACTGGTGTTGAATTTCAGAAAATTTGCTATTCCGAAAGTTTCCACATGTTTTATATTAGGGCTAAGTTTCCGGTGCAATTTTTTTTCCTCTTTTTCCCTCAAATTTTGATGGATTTTCTTCCTTGAAATTAAGTTTATATACGAATGATTAAATTTTGAACTTTTTTTAATTCCCCAAAATCGAAAGAACTGGTACTTCAAGTTGTTGAGACCTAGGATCTATTCTGTACTGGAATTTGATATTTATTCACTGTTATCTTAAGAAAATTAAAGTTTCTAAGCGATTCTATTAGGTGGGGATAACTTTTTATTCTTGTTTTTTAATTTTTCAGTGGTAACTGCAGCTTATTCAGTAGTTAGATTAGGGACACAATATTTAGAAATTTGCAAAATTTGATTTTTTTTTCATATCTCCTGAAAACTTATTGATGGAACTGAAAATTGTTTGAGTTGTTCCTTAATGGTGAAAAGGCGAATTTGTAGTTGTAGCCAACACAGAATCGGGCTTAGTTCTTTGGGGGATGGAGTTTATTTACTTTATTGTTTGTTTCTTCCCGTTCAAAATATGCTTTCATGAATTTTGAGTCTGCAGTAAATCGTGAAATTTTTGTGTTTAGTTAAGTAATTTATCAACTTATACAATTGGTTAATCTTCAAATTTGACTATCTGACTTTGGTTGCAGAAGCAGAAAAAGTAATCATGCCGAAGAACAAGGGAAAGGGAGGAAAGAACAGGAAGAGAGGTAAGAATGAAGCCGATGATGAAAAGCGTGAACTTGTGTTTAAGGAAGATGGACAGGAGTATGCCCAAGTGCTTCGTATGCTGGGTAACGGTCGCTGTGAAGCCATGTGCATTGATGGGACGAAGCGACTTTGTCACATCCGTGGTAAGATGCACAAGAAGGTTTGGATTGCAGCCGGTGATATCATTCTTGTTGGTCTTCGTGACTATCAGGACGACAAAGCTGATGTGATCCTCAAGTACATGCCTGATGAGGCTAGGCTTCTGAAGGCATATGGAGAGCTTCCAGAGAACACACGTCTTAATGAGGGTATTGCCGGGGGTCTTGAAGACGAGGAAGAAGGTGGTGCTGATGACTATATTGAGTTTGAGGATGAAGATATTGATAAGATATAGAGGTTCCAGGATCAACTCTATTTGGATGTTATATTTTACCTTTACCTGTTCGCGGTTAATTGGCACTAATATAAGTCAAACTTGGATTGGCAGTTGGCTCTTTATGTGGTTTTGTATTTCCAGATGGGGAATTGGTCATGTTCCATGTAACATCTGTTATTATTAATACATCTGTTATGTTTGTGTTTTTTTTTCCTTCATTTAATGACTGCTTCCATCATGGTGCTTCTTTCCATTCTCTTCCTTATTTTGCCCCGTTTTACCTAATTCATCTGAGTATTGATGCTTTGGATTGCCTTATTTTGCTTCCTTTTACCTAATTCATTGGAGTATTTGTGCTTTGGATTCACTAGGACTTAGTTGGGCCCTCGGAGTTGAGGTTCTTATAGTTGCCCTTGTTTTGAATCTGGGTCTCAGATAAGTTATTGCCCATGAGATACCAAGCATCAACTTATATATTCATAGATCAACTCCTTTACAAGCATGGATTTTTGGGAATTCTAGCTTAGGTTCCACTTCTAAACTAAATAAGATGGAGATTTGTTCGTAAACATCTACATGGGAAATCAATGACACCATTTGAATCCTCATACAAGGTGCATGGTAAGCAGTAAGAAATAACCTTATTTACTTTAACAGGGGCAGATTAAGATTATAATCGGAAATTTATAATCCTTAAAATGAAGCATTTTTGTACTTGATTCTTCCTGTGTTCTTCGGGTTGTGCTCTTTATCTTTTTCAGCCTCCCTTGAACAATCCTTCTTGCTTACCTGTACCAATGTGGAAGCCACAATCATTGAGTGCTGGAACTTAGTAATTTTGTTCTTCTAGAAAAGACATTATGCAAGCAAATCCAGTAAGAAGGTAGAACACCAAAGGTTTGGTGTTTGCATTTTGCAACCATTGAGGTAATTTCTTGTCAGAAGCTCAGTTTAGATTATGCTCAACTGGGGCATACGCTTACCTTAAACCTGTTTTGAGTTGGACCATAGCCATCTTTCTCTTCTGCTGTTGTTACTGGGAAGCTATCAAATAGGACATTCACTTCATTAGATCCGCAGCTCTCTTTTTCTTCACCTGCCCCATCGAACAATCTCTTTCCGAACACAAATCTTTGGTTGCTGTTAATTGGCTCAACATGATTGCTCATATGACTTTCGACTGAGGAGATTTCAGGAGGGCGGGTTGCCATCCACCGTTCCAGCCAGCTCCATCCCATGTTCTGTTCTGTGCCATCAGATGTGGTGTGTCTTTTCTTTGAACAGATCCTTAGCTACAAACAAATAGGAAAGTTAAATATTCGACAATCATAACACGAGTCTAGGACCTCTTTCAGGAATGAATTTCATATGTACCTGTTGTGAAAAGGCATAAGCCAGTGCTCTCTCACGCCTGGTTGTTGCTTCCAGTCTGTTCTGAATCCTCATTTTTGATATGTTGCTACTCACCGTGCTATCATCCCATTCTTCCTGTAAATTTCAGCAAATCTTAAGGATTGTATGTGATTCGATATCGGTACGTATATAAATAACTTAGACGCTAGAATTCACTTTGTTGTGCGTTTTGTTTACATAACTGGTCCTTTGGATTACAAAACCTACCAAGAACTAATCCCACCCTGCACATGAAATGTCCTATATTCCATGTGGAGTACAAATGCATGACCAACAAGGCTATGATGAAGCCGTTAATGCTAAATGTGCTTAATTAGTTTTCATGGAGCAGAAACAGTACATCCGGAAACTAAAGGTTTCAGCGGGTTCTCCTTCTACCACATTTGTTAACATTATGTAATTCTAACAACTAAAAGGTAGAGTTGTTTCTGATCTACCTTCAGCTTTAGTTCCTGAGTTCTAGCTTTCTGTTGCATCCGGTGGTGAGCAGCCACATTTTCTTCTTGAATTGAGTAAACATCCACAGAATTTCCCGTTTGAACTTCAACTGATGTGCCCAGAGACTCCGTACTTAGACTTTCTGGTCCTACAATAAGCTCCTGCTTACCATACTTTGATTTAATTCCTTCATTTTGACACCTAGTCTGAAATCCAAGCAGTCTAATGATTATTAGCCACAATTTCCAGTGCAATAAAGCAGATTTTTCACAAAGTTATCAATGAATACTATATTTTAAAAACAATTTTGAGATGACTGAGTTTTCTGTCTAAGTTGAATTATAACATAAATCCTTGTGCATGAGCATGCTAATTATTTCTATCAAAGATCTTTAAATACTTTATCTTGAAATTTATGTGGACATTAAAAGTTAATTCTACAAGATGATAATTTTGAATGGAGTTACCAGAAAGCCTCTAAATGCTAACTGGATGATGGTTGCTGCTTGCTCTTCAGACATAGTTTTTGAGACCGAAAATTCCTTCTTTGCCATTTCGATATCTTCCTTAGTTACTTCTCTTTTGATGCCATCCTTGTCTGTTAAGTCTTCTGGCATCGGTTGTGTAACAGTAGCCTCAGAGCTCTTAACCGAAGAAGAATCGTCCTCTACAAGGACTGAATTGAGCTGTGTGGGAGTAACCACAGAGCTCTTAACTGAAGATGAATCATTTTCTGCAAGGACTGAATTATATTCATCCCCACATAAGTATGATCTAACAGAGCTCCATCTTCTCCTTTCTGTCATATTGCTCCTTACCTATGCCATAGAAGAAAAATAAACAAATGATATAATTTATATACAGCATAAGATACAGTAGGGGGTTGAATTATATGAATAAACATATATAATTGGACTTACATTGCTCTCATGAGTTCCCAAAGACCTATTCCTTGAAAAGACACTCCTGACCAAACCTCCATTGATACCCATCTCAACTGAGGAATCCCAAAGAAGAAGATGCTCAAAAGAGACTGTTGCCAATTCTGTTGGAAACCATCCAGAGGAGCTGAGGTTAACATATATGCTTCAGGAAAAAGTTGATAATTGTACTGACATTTTCACTCAATTATAGTAACCACACTAAGCTTCACAGGAGAAACTAGTACATTTTAATTAGAGGAAAAGCGCATGTTAGATAGAACTAAGTCAGAAGATCTGCAGAGTACTGAAGGCTTTAGAGCTGGATCTGGACTTTAATCACAAAAATAATAGAAGCCAGAAAAGTGAAGATTAGATAGAAAGAATTGACATGATGAGGGCATGGTGTTTTTTCTTTTGCATCTACTTTTTGCACATGGCTAGCAGCACATTGGCCTCATAAAGCTTTCTTGCTATTTGGGTTATGTCTTCCTTTCTGGTTACTTCTTCTGCCCTCTGCTGGCTCATTGTAAGATGCCAATGCTGTTTTTTTTTTCTGCATGAAAATCATGCCAATAACTTTAGACTGGTTTTTTTAATTTTCTTAATGCTTGAGATGCTCAGAAAGAGGTAAAATATTAATACACACCTAATCTGTTGGAATTTAGTTCCTTACTTGTTGTTCTGCTAAGTGGGGGAAAAAAAAAAGCATTAGCTTTTTCCTTTTTTCTTTTCTTTCTTTTGTGTGAGATAAAAGTTCGAAGTAACTTAGACAGATGTACTACTAGGAGGGGACAGATTCGTGTTACTTGCCAAGTTGGGTCAATTCATTTACACCGTCAAGTCTTTGTAACCTTGTATGCCAATTGGTCAGCACAATGAGCCCGTTCCTCTTGCATTCAAGTTCGAATATCTCTTTTTTGGATTAAATTAATAATTTAAGGTCACCATAATCACTAGAATCCAACAAAACATAGATCCATGGCAGCCGTTGACTCTTTCAAGATATGAAATCCATTCTCATCAATTCAATCCGGTGATCCCGAGCAGCCAGTTTTTGGCATGGCTGATCTTGAATTCTTCTATCACTTTTTGATGCCATTAAGATTGTTTGATTATAAATAGAGATTGGCACGTGCTCTACACTAGAGACCACCACTTCACTATGGGACTGACATGTTACTTTTCTAGCATAAAGAGCCTAGCAATAATAGTTCCATGGGACACAAAAACAAAATCATCCCAACTTTTCATCAACCTTTAATTATCAAATGATGTTGTATTTTAATTACTAAAAACAAATTTTCATTAAAAAAAATTATGAAAAACAAATAAAGTTTAGATTAGATTAGACCAATCATACAGACAAATAATAATAACACAACCACCTCAGTTGAAGGCATGAACTACAGTTTTAGACCCGACCCGACCCGACCCGAATATTTGACTTGTTAACCCAACCCGGATTTTTATCTGATGTTTTTTCTCTGTCTGAAATTCTCTTTTCTGAGTGAACGAACGAAGCGCGCAAGCACTGTGCTCACGCCGAGGTTTCACTTTTGTGTATTAGGGTTTTGCTTGTTTGCCCAGAAAGTTTGAGGGGTAAGAAATAATGTTTTGGATTATTTTTGCATATTGTTTTACATAGCAAGAGACATAAAGTTTGCATTTTGACTTAACAAGTTGAATCTTTTCTTTATTGGGTATAGCATACTTGTCTCTATTTGCCATTTCCAAGAGAAATTGTTGGGACGGAGGTCAGGAGGTGCTTCGAGAATGAGCATTGTGCCTAAAGAGAATGTTGAAGTAATTGCACAAAGCATTGGGATCAACAACTTGTCTCCAGATGTTGCTCTCGCTCTCGCTCCCGATGTCGAATATCGCCTGCGTGAGGTTATGCAGGTAATTCTTGACTTGTTTTGCCATATTTATGATATGGGTTTGTTTTGCCATTGTTGTTTTCAATCATTTGCGGTTGTACTAGTAAGTTGTAATTTGGGAATTTGGGTTGCTTGTTTATGTGGTAAGATTGAGAATGAATAATAGACTAGTAATTATGCTAGTGATGACATAGTCTAAATTAGGTTGCTTTTGTTTTGCTTAATAGGTCTGTGCTTCTAAGGAGCTTGTTTAAGTTAAAGGAGATAGTGCAGTTAGTTATTTTTGGTGAATTGAGACATTGGAAGATCCAGTATAATTTGGTTGTAATGAAAGTGCAGGAGGCTATTAAATGCATGCGTCACTCGAGGAGAACTAGATTGACAGCTGATGATGTTGATGGCGCACTCAACTTAAGAAACGTTGAGGTGAGTGAGTGTTGCAGATAATTAAATTAACATGGTTGTTTTGTTTATTCTTTTGAATCTCATTTTGCTTATTCTACTACTCACCAGCCAATATATGGTTATGTTTCTGGGGGTCCTTTGCGGTTCAAAAGAGCTATTGGACATAGGGACTTGTTTTACATCGACGACAAGGATGTTGAATTTAAAGATGTAAGAATTACTGAGTAATCTGATTACACTTTCTACTTGATTTTGTATGTTGCCTTTTAATGTCCCATATTTCTGTTTGACTATAGGTGATTGAAGCTCCTTTACCAAAAGCGCCACTTGATACTGGAATTGTTTGTCACTGGCTAGCTATAGAAGGTGTACAACCTGCAATTCCAGAAAATGCTCCTGTAGAAGGTTTGTCTCTAATATATAGATTGTACAAATAATTGTTGCTCGCAAATCAAACTTCCAATTTAGGAGTTGTAGTTGTTCCAGAGTATGAAAAGGTTGAACCTCTGTCATTCTGGGAATTAGCTTTGGTAAAACAAAGCATTCTATGGGGTATATGGCACTATCTAAGGTTTGACGTTGTATGTAGCATGAAACGTGGTCTGCAGCGTATGCCACATTCTTTGTTTTGTCTGCTGGAATTTAATTTATGTAAAATGTATGGTGAAATGAATCTGTTATTCAGTGATAATTCTTTTTGAATATATTATGGGGAACTGGAATAAACTTAATTTTCAACTTTTCTGCTTTTGTTAGCCCAGGTTTGTAATCTAACTTGTGTTCTTTTGTTCTTTGTCTGTAGTACTTGCAGCTCCTCCTGATAGTAAAAAGTATGAACAGAAGGATGATGGAGTTCCCGTTGACATTAAATTACCAGTTAAGCACATATTGTCTAGGGAACTTCAGGTAATATTTCACTGTCTGCTCTTATATTTTGGTATTTCTTCATTTTGCATCTTGTTTACATGTTCTTTCTTTTTGTTGCCTTTGCAGCTATATTTTGATAAAATCACTGAGCTTGTTGTGAGTAGGTCCGATTTGGTTATTTTTAAAGAAGCATTAGTGAGTTTGGCCACTGATTCGGGACTTCATCCATTAGTTCCTTATTTCACATGCTTTATAGCTGATGAGGTGAGAAATCTTGAAATTATTGCCGATAGCTACTACAAGAGTGTGATATATAGCCATTTGTTACTTATACCAACTGTTCTTAATTAATATCAGGTTTCTCGTGGTTTGAATGATTATCCACTTCTATTTGCTTTAATGCGAGTTGTTCGGAGTCTTCTCCAGAATCCTCACATGCACATAGAACCTTATGTAAGTGTTTCTTTCTTCTTTGTTTCCTTCATTTCCTTGGAGAGCCTCTTGTAAGTTAATGTCTATTCATGTATTTTATATGGTTACGTGAACATCTATACAATCATGTCTAAGTTGAATTCGGTCTTTTCCTGGATTGACACTTGGGGAGGCTGATGGTAGTATCTCTAAACATATGTTATGGTGGATGCAACCCTGTTAACTTGTTGGACTGACCTTCAAAAGATATCACCTATACTTTTTCCTTACCTTCTTCTTGTCTTTTTTCAGTTCCTTTCTAGTTAATGAACAAAATTTGCACATTCATATTTCTGTATGCATGGATTGGTAATCATTGTTTATCTTCTTCAAACTCATCCTATTTATATTGAGTGGTTCCCTTATCTGGACTCCCTTTTTTTATCATGGGGCTAAAGCATGTAAGATGGTAGTTAAGATCAAATGTGTTATTTATATGGCAGTTGTACTCTGACACCTCTCTTTTTTCCTTTCCTTTTGTTTTTTGGGTCAGCTACACCAATTGATGCCATCTGTGGTCACTTGCCTTGTTGCGAAAAGGTTAGGCAATAGGTTTGCTGACAACCATTGGGAACTTAGGGACTTCACTGCGAACCTGGTTGCTTCAATCTGCAAAAGGTTAGGCTTGTTATTTTGCTTGTATTTAAATTTCTGTTTACCTGCATGCATGCTTATCTTTCAGTTGGCATCTCCTAGTCTTCTCTTGTGACTTGAACTTGGTCAGACCCAGTTCCACTCTTTCGTGATTTTGGTTTGTTAGGCAGCCTTCTGTATATGAAGTGCACATTCTGTTAAGATTCTAGTTAATCTTTGGTTTTTTTTTTTCTCTACGTTATATTGTTAGAATAGAACACTTGTTTCTGTTAACACTGTAACACGGTCGATGCTATCAAACTACCAAGTAAAATTGTTGTTTTGAAAATATTGCTCCAGATACGATGGAGGTGGATCTCTGTTTTCCATTCAGATTTTGGGTGTGAATTTGACATCTTACCTATGGAATTGAAGTTTCTGAACTGTTGCAGGTTTGGGCATGTCTATAACACTCTCCAGTCCCGTCTTACAAAAACTTTGGTCAATGCATTTTTGGACCCAAAGCGGACATTGACTCAACACTATGGTGCAATTCAAGGTTTAGCTGCTTTAGGCCCCAGTGTGGTAATACCTCATGCACCTTGCAACTAAGAAATTAATTTACAATTATCCAGGGCATGTTTTGGACTATGAGTTCAACTTGTAGTAATATCCTCTTGGTTCTTCCCATAAGGTTCTTCTTTCCCCGTTCTATCATTTATTTCCATTCATGAGAAAAGATAATTAATGTTAAATGAAGCTAGCTGGCTCCCTGGTTATCTTTTTTAGTCATCATTCTGATTCCTAGAAGGTGAATAACGATGGAATGGAAGATATTTGCAATATTTTTTCTCTTTTGCTAATGACTACCTTTAGATAAGTAAAGATATTATATTAAAACACATCTAGAAAACTAGAGATAAATTCCTCAATACATCTGAACTTTTATTCTGCTAGAGTCCATTTAACCCCCCCCCCCCCCCCCCCCCCTCCTCTCTCTTCTAGGCTATGGTGATTTCTGAATCTTTGTTTCACTAGAAACCTACATCTTTCTTGAGGGATATGTGTTTTGTGGGAAATATGCATCCTTTATTTTTACTTACTGTAAGGATTTTTAGCCGTTTGTGATTTTTTTCCAATGCAGGTTCGCCTTCTTGTGCTGCCAAATCTGGAGTCATATCTGCGACTTCTTGAACCAGAGCTGCTTCTTGACAAGCAAAAGAATGAGATGAAGAGGCATGAAGCTTGGCGTGTTTATGGAGCCCTGTTGGTGAGTCTCTTTTCATACCTTTATATATCGTTGGAAAAATCTTAAGAAAGGCTTGCTAATGAGAGTATGCTTATTCCAGAATGCAGCAGGTCAATGCATATATGATAGGCTCAAGATGTTCCCACTTTTGCCATCTCCAGCACCCAAATCTTTCTGGAGGACCAGTCAAAGAGTCATTACTATGCCAAGTAAGACTTTCGATGAGTGCTAATGTATGCTTGGTTTATAATAAATCTCATTTCCTAATGATGTAGATTGGTTGAATGATTTGTTAACTGCTTTCCAGTAGAATAGACTATACTGCTTAATTTGATTAAACAAACATAGAACTATAGCATGTATGTGGGTTTTGGCTCCTCTTTCACTGCATGCCTATTGCATGCGGCACATCAAAATCAAGCGAGCTGCAAAACTCTGAATTGCATTTGCTAATCAACTAAATTACTGGAATAATTTGTAAATGTCTGGCAATAGAATTTAGATTATACTACTCGAGTGGGTATACAAGAAGCACTAGTACTATCATATATATGGGTTGGGCACCTTTACGTTGCATGTTGTATGTGTTACAAACATGCGTTCCAATTGTAACACGCCAGAACCATGGGTGCAAGAAAGAGTTTTTGTTTTCCCTTCCCACCTGCAATCCTTTTTTGTGTGAGATTCTGCTCTTATATGTACTAGACTTTTGGCATAATGAAGGAAACAAACACCCCTTTGATGTATTTGAAAAGCTGATAAATGAGGTTGATTGTCCAATAGGGTGAAGAATCCTTAGTTTTCAAGGTTATTATTTAGATAAAATCTTAACTCTGATTCTCCTATGCATCATCAAGATAAACGCAAGGGAAGTGTGGAGCACATGGAAGAGCAACCACCCCTGAAGAAAATTGCAACTGACGGGCCTACGGGTATAGCGCCAACTAATTCTTCACCGTCTCACATGGAAGTAGAAACAGCAACTCCAGCCCCTTCAGGGGATACTGATGCAGGCCCCCCATCATCTACTGGGCAGATGCCTAATGAGGGCGTTTCAAACAGCAGAAGTAGAAGGGACAGGGCTGCTGGTCGGTCTCTAAAGAAATCAGCTCTGCTCACTCAGGTTTGGAAGGATGACTTAAATTCTGGGCATCTCCTGGTATCGTTGTTTGAGTTGTTCGGTGAAGACATTCTCTCCTTCGTTCCAGCTCCCGAGATGTGTTTGTTTTTGTAACTGTTGGTAGAAATCTTGAAACTTATGATTAGATGTACATAGTAAAAGATAGAATGAAAGATTTCAGGGAGAAATTTTTGTAAAAATGAGTAGAAAATTGTCTCATGGTATGAAACTTTTACACTCAGAATTCATGTCATAAAATCCAAAGAATTACAGTGAATTTTACTTTACATTAGCAAAAAGGAAATCAAACATAAAAATGAACAATACACATAAGGCTCTTAAAAGTATCAAGTAGACAAGTACAATCTAGTAATGAGCTTAATTAAGCAGCTGCTTAATTTTGGTGGACTCTCTTTCCACAGCTTTCTTCAGGAATCCATCTTCTTCCAAAACCATTTGAACTGGCAAGAACCCCATCCCATTGGCCATAGCAAGCATCATACGCTTGGTTTCAGCCTTGAACTCTTCCAAATCAACGGCCCCATTTGAGTCATGATCAAACTGCACGAACAGAGAGTCATAGACATGAGCAATCTCTTCTGGGTCTGGCTTCACATCAATGCCATAGTGTGTCTCGAAGACCCTCAGAGACTGAAGCTCCTTCAGCATCTCTGCATAAGAAAGTATACCATCATGGTTAGTGTCAAGATTACCAAAACGATGATGTACCGCAAGGTTGAAAGCCTCTTCATCCTCCACAAAGTTGACAATTGTGGCACCATCCAATACCTCTACGCTCATTTTCTCTTAAGCTAGCTTGAGTTTTGATCACAAGAAAGTTAAGCTTTTGATTAAGATGGGGAACAAATTGGTATTGAGGGTATTTATAGACGCATGCATGGGGGACAAATATTGCTCTTTTGGCCCATCGTTTCTCCAATCCACGGGTTTTATGTTAGTTAATACCCAAACCGACTTTACATGCTGAAAAGAAAAGAAAGGCCAACAGTGATTGTTCCAAAATGTTTAGTAGTTCACATGAGAAGTCATATATAGCATCCTCACTGTAGAATTTGAGAGCCGTTCTATGACCCAAAAAAGAAAAGAAAAAAAATCCTAGGTGTTGTGGCCACTAGCAAATGCTATTGTTAATTTTATTTTTCTAACAAAAAGATTACAAGATCCTCTGAGAAATTCTAACGGTCTAATATCGGGCATCAATTTAGCCGGAACACTGAAAGTAAAATTAGAGAACCAAGTACAAGTATTATTTTATGTTGCCATGTTGCCATATAAAAGCTAATTCATCACCTCATATGTCAAATTTGCTTCATCATACATGTGCCTCAATTGTCCAGTTAGAAACTGTTGTGGTCAATCCAGTGGGTGGAAGAAATGGTGCGTACCCACACATTTCAAATCCAATTGGCCTACCCAGTTCAGCGTGGAAAGAAAGTCAGAACTCAGAATACATTGACTATTGACTGCACAAAGTCTGCAGGTCGGACGCATTGGGCAAAGGTAAACTTTCGGTGAGAAACACACAGATTTTGCATTTACTGTGTGTTATTCTTATGGGACAATAAAAAAATGGAAACAAAGCTGAGAGAGAGAGAGAGAGAGAGAGAGAGAGAGATGTAGCAAATTATAGCTATATTTGCAACTTCAATTATATGAGGCCAACAAGAACGAGAGTTCTAGAAAAAGCTCGAAGAAGTAGAATATTTTGAAAAGGATATTTTCTAAAAGACGATGATAATTAATATTGTATCGTTGAAATAATATGAGGAATAAATTCTTGGCGTAATAATCACATCAACATATGCTGCGAGAATATGAAGATGAAAAAGTTCCACATTAGAAACTTAATAAACTTAAAAAAAGCTTATATAATGTTGAATTACTCTTCATTGTCAATTTATTTTGGAGTGAAATCTACTTTTTATATATTTTAAAGGGTGAATTAACAACACTGCGTATCTATTTGACTAGGACACTGTAGAGCAATTAATGCAAGCTGCCTATACATAACTGGCCTGTATGGGTGAAAAATGAGCCCCATGCTTAATGATCTTCTTTCTGACTCACTGCAAAACTCCATGCGTATAATTTTGCATGGATCCCTGAGCCCTCACAAGAGTAAATGACATTTGATAGGAATCCGATTCAATTTACGTCACTCATGACGCTCCCAAGAAAAATTTCGTTCATCAATGTAATGCAATTAGATATATCTGTTGATGTGTAACCCTTCAGCTGAAATCCTTGGAGCTAAAAATCAAAGTTTTGAATTTTATTTCATATGTTCTATTTTATGGTTATAATGAGAGCCGTTGGATCATAGTTCAGGTGGCCTAGGATATAATTGTCAGATTAAGACAGATGTAATCATCTCATAGGGTGATAGAATCAAAGGCTATGATTTAATTTCTGTGTAAATCAGTTAGAGAAGTAGCTCACTTCTCTCTCATATACGAATACATATGAACAGTAAGATGATATGAATAGATATTCAGCTTTCTTACAAAGCAACGTTCTCTTATTCATTTTGATTTCTGTGCTTTCTTCCTTCCTCCCAAACATCCAAAACATTGAAACCTATGAATTCTAACCTATGAATCATGGGAATTTGTTATACCAATTCTGCAATAAACCCGTCTGGTCATATTTGTTTCTGTATATCTTGATTTATAGTAATTGGCTTTGATATTAATTTGCCGCCACTTTTGGTTTATAGAGTTAATCCAAGTGGTGAGAGATGATCGAGTAAGGCAATGAGTTAGAATTAGGCTAGGTTACAACTTCGATTTCTTTTTTCATTGTAAGTATAATATTATGAAAATGGATACAGAAGCAATGACAACTAAGTAATGATATATATGCTTTTAAATTTAATCCATTGGAAGGCAATTCTTCAACCCCCCCCCCAACTAGACTCTGCTGGTGTCGCCCTGTCGGGCGTGAGGTTATCTTATAGACATATAGATACATGCACTTCCCTTTATCTCTCTCTCAATCTCTCCCTATAAATAGAGGCATGGTCCTCCTTTCCAAAGCACTCTAGTCTCTCTTTGAATAATTGAAGTAAAATGGGTTCCAAGGCTTTCATTTACTGTGGTCTTTTACTTGCCATTGTCCTTCTCATCTCCTCCGAAGTGGCCGCAAATGGTGAGCTTAATTTGCTTCACTTTTCCTTAACAATAATGCTAGAGTCACCAAAATTTATTTGTTAAATAAAGCGAAGTACTTACTTATTACAAATATTTGAGGCATTTAATCTCCATGATCTTTTTGTTAAATGCACGTTTTACTACATGACCTGCAGCAGCGGAGGAAGCTACAAATCCCAATGTAGGTGATGCTAAATATGGTGGAGGGTACCAGGGAGATCCCGGTCGTGGGGGATACGGTGGCAACCCGGGACGCGGTGGATATGGAGGAGGAGGAGGAGGAGGGCGTTGCTACTATGGTTGCTGCAGGCGCGGTTACAATGGAAGAGAGTGCGTACGGTGCTGCAACCATGCTAATGAGGCTGTTGATGCACAACCTCAAAACTAATTAACTAACTGATTAAGGCCACAAGTCTGCATATGTGCATGCAGTGTGTGTTTAATTAGTTGGATAATTATGTATTAGTAGATCTGAAGATGCATGCGCTCAATGCTTGAAGTAGTTGATTCCTCGCAGTATTTGTATGAATAAAACTTCAGAAGCGAGGCATGCAAAAAATTAAATTAAACTAATTATCATGAGTGCTTAGCTGATGATATATGCTCTTTTATTTTGGTGGTCATATTCACGTACTTGTGTAATGCATGTCATCGATCCATGATTTAAGAAATCAATGACATATATACAATAACGTTTATAATTATATGCAATTTGTTCACCCAAATTTTGCTCTTACGTATGGGATGTCAAATATCTCTGAACTCACACATGGCAATCAAATTCACTGACAAAATGTAAAAAAAATAAAAATATATATACATAGAGCCCACTCCATATTGTATTTTACTAATTCAAACTGTCTATTTTGTAGATATTTATTCAAATATCATATCTACAAAAAATCATTTGAATCCGATATCATATGACCACTCGAACAAGAAACCTTTAATTTGCAAGTCAATACTCTTTTTCACTCTGCTAACCTGTTAGCAAATGATTTTTGAAAAAGTAGAAATTTTATTAAAACGGACAATGTTAAATCAAAATCTCACAGACGCACAAGTTGACAACCGACAGAAGAAGAGTGTTTTGGGCATATTCAACTCTGGGGTTGAGATATATTCGGCAATTTTGTTCTTGCTTTGGTCATTCAAAGCAAAGAAGCACAACTTGTTCTCCCGTGGCCACCAATCTCTGACGTATATGAATCTCAATCTCATCATCTATCTATATCTGAACTGAAAGAAAAACAGAAATTGGATTGGATTTTATTTTATTTTGACCAAGTAGAGACTATTAATCATGTAGATAAAATTGAATAAATTGATGGTCAACCTGATGCCCAACAACCAGCTACACTGCACCCATCTGGCTACACAGTCTTAATGGCATATGTGAAACGTGGATTTTTTTTTTTTTTGCCACGTAAGAAAAATTTATTAGTGGGAAAAAAAAACTTGTGTACATATGCCAATTAAGGACTCAAAATAAAAATAATCAGTCGAAGAAAACAATAGGGCTCGTTTCATGTGTTACGTGTGTATGCAAGTGTCCAAACTCACATGCATGCTGAGCTGAACCGAGACACGTGTCTTTGCTTGAATTAAAAGTGTTCTGAGACTGGAAGATATTGCATAATATTATATCAATATATCTTAGTTAAGTCAAACGTACGGTACTCTCCAACATTGCCTGGTGTCGTAAACAATGTGGTATAAAACAGTGGTGATCGGCAAAGCCTAACATTCATTCCCATCTTCGACAAGTCATGGCTTTCAAAGCTTTCATTTTGCTGGGCCTTCTGTTTGGCTCTGTTGTTCTCATCTCTTCCACTGTCGCAGATGAGACATCCAAAGATGAGAAGAAAGGTTAATTAATTTATTCATTATTCTAGCGACTCCATGCGAGCGCGGCGTGCGCACACACATATATATGGGTAATGCTAGATTTATTATATTTTTATACAACATTGTGTACTACCTTTTTAATGTGGTATAAAATACGATAAAGTTTAGTATTTATATATATATATATATAATTTCTACTTTATGTAGCATTGATTTTATGATCCAATATCACACATCATCGACCAACCAAAAAAAGAAGTAAAAAGATGGATGTACAAGAATTTGATTTGATTTTCTCTAGCTCACAATAATATAGCTAGGTTTGTATTCGTATTGTTCGAATATTAATAGTATATATGTACTTACTAAGGTCACATGCATATATGTTGGTGGTGCAGTGGATGAGGCGCAGGAAGCGAACCCTGTAGAGCACGCAAGACAATATTGCGGGTGTTGCATTCGTTTTGGCATATATAGATGCGGCATACGATGTTGTCGGCGACCTGAACCTGAGGATCAGCCTCAAGAAGTAGGCGACAGCCTTGAAACGAACCAGCCTGACGGATATGGATATGGAGGGGGTGGCTACAAAGGAGGCCGTGGTGGGGGCTATGGAGGAGGAGGCCGTGGAAGCGGCGGCTATGGAGGAGGAGGCCGCGGTGGATATGGTGGTGGTGGAGGTGGCGGAGGAAACTGACAGGCCCGGAGCTAAACCCACTATATGAGAGAACTATGTACATATAGAAATCGTTCGTTCTTAAAGTATGGTAGGGAAGAATAGATGAATAAGCTCTCCATGTATGCATGGGATCATGTACGTATATGTAATATGTTTTTCCATGCACGAGAATGAGTGCACGGTAAAAGGGTCAAATATCACCTGAATATTTTGACCCCAGCTAGCTAGCTCCAAGGACTGACCATAAGTCATTGTAGCTGTTTTATGTGTTATCTTCACTAATACTTTGACCCCAGAAACACCTTTAAATCCAACAACACTTGCCTGATCCAAGCTATATCAACTGAAGTATGAGCTAATGCTCGATACTCAGCTTCTGTTGAACTTCGAGAAACATAGTTCTGCTTCTTGCATTGCCATGAAACTGGAGTAGGACCTACGAAAACAACAAAATCTATACTAGATCTTCTTGTATTACCATCTCCAGCCCACATTGAAGATACATGTGTGAGTGTGTGTAGGTGTCCAAATTCACATGCATGCTGAGCCCCCCGATTATATATATATATATATATAAAGGAATTCCTTAAATAATTTTATTTGAGAGACGTCATTTAAGGTACCTTACAAATTGTTTTTCAACGATCCAAATCATCTATTTTTTAAGTCTTCATTCATAGATTATCCGTGCAAAAAATTAGACAAATCGGAAACCGTTTAGACATCTAATTGTGTTCTACGAAATCTATGAACACGGTTCTTCAAAAAAGTACTAAATTTCAATAATTTAATTGAATGATCAAATGATATCGGATTCAAATTTTTTTATAGAAATGATAATTGAATGAATATCTACAAAAATTTATTTGAGGAATCCCTCAATATAAGCTGTATATGTAATATATATATATATATAGAGAGAGAGAGAGAGAATGCATGAGTCTCAATCTCATCATCTATCAATCTCCCACAAACAAAGTACACTGTCTAAACTCAAAGGACAAAAAAGGAAAAGAAGAAATTGGATTGGATTTTGACCAAGTACTATTTTAACAATTTAGATAAGACTGAATAAATTGATGATAGTCAACTTGATGCCCAACAACTCATCTGTACATGCGTGTCTATCTGTCTGAGTATCCGTGTGAGTGTGTGTTATGGTGTGTATGTAAGTGTCCAAATTGACATGCATGCTGAGCTGAGCTCAACCTAGACACGTGTCTTTGCTTGAATAACAAGAGTGCTTCGATCTATCAAGTCTAGGGGAAGTCATGATAAGAATTGGAAGATATTGCATAATATTATTTATATATCAAGGGGAAGTCAAACTTTGCTGACTAAAATCTGTGTCTTTACTCGTAAACGATGCATGCCACCGTAATTGCTGGTGTCGTCTAGTGGGATCTCCCAGCACTATAAACAGTGGTGATCGGCAAAGCCTAACATTCACTCGCATCTTCTGCCTTAAATTAGCAATCTTTCTTGTGAGATTTTTGAGTAGCATAAGATTTCGAGAAGTCATGACTTTCAAAGCTTTCATTTTGCTGGGCCTTCTTGTGCTTGGCTCTGTTGTTCTCATCTCTTCCACTGTTGCAGCTGAGACATCCAAAGATGAAAAGAAAATTATACCAAATATATATATATATATATATATATATATATGTGTGTGTGTGTGTGTGTGTGTGCATGCATGTGGCAGTTAATCTTAGAATTCATGATCCTTTTATCACACAATGGACCAACCCAGAAAAGAAGTCAAAAGATGTACAAGAATTTGATTTGATTTGGTTTTGTACTAACATTGTTCGAATATATATATTCTCACTAACGTCACATATATATGGCTGGTGGCTGGTGCAGTGGATGAGGCACAGGAAACGAACCCTGTAGATGACGCAAAACCATATTGCGGGTGTTGCACTCGTTATGGCTACTATAGATGCGGCCCACAATGTTGTCGGCAACCTGAAGCTGATGATCAGCCTCAAGAAGTAGGCGACAGCCTTCAGACGAAGCAGCCTGACGGATATGGATATGGCGGCGGGGGGGGCGGGGGGGGGGGGGGGGGGGGGGGGGGGGGGGGGGGGACACTGTACTTTGCGGAGTATGCGAATGGGGGGCCGGGGGCCAGATTGAGCAAAAGGGTGCAATGGCCTGGGTTTCATGTGATTGGAGCTGATGAGGCTGTTGAGTTTACTGTTTCTAATTTTATTGCTGGGACTTCATGGCTGCCTTCTACTGGAGTCACTTTCGTTTCTGGCCTCCATTGATTGGGATGAAAAGGATGTGTTACCCGAATCTAATGTGAAGAGGTGGACATCGAAGTTCTCATGCACCACATGTAACCTTAAAGTCATGTACCAAAGTTCAAGCATATGCATCTTTTTAAGCTTATAACCCTACGTTTTTATATTTTGGGCTTGTCCAATATAGATTCCTATATTTTCTATTTCCTAGACATATACCCATCACTCTATAAATTTATGTGTAAAACCCAATTTCAAATTTAAATGACCAGCATGATATAATAGGTCGTAGTATTTTTATGTTTTTACATCGTTGCCACTAAACTTCATATTTTATTTATAATTTATTTCAAGTATTTCATTAACTGCCATAATAGTAATTAATATACTCCCTATTAATAGCATATCAATCACCCCATTTCTTATAGTTGTCATT